CTGATTACAGGAATACGAACTGGGCAAGAGGAGAAAAAAAGTAAGGAATCAGGTAAATTATGAAGCAAAAMCAAGTTGAAGCCGGTGCGGGCTGCGGCTGCCACTAGCTGTGATGGATGTAGCGAGAAATGTGGTTAATCTGGAACTGATTTCAATATAAATATTAATGTTGCACATTTGTAAGTCGAATGCCATGTCGGCAGAAACGTGACAGCAACAACAACAACAACAACAACGGCAGCAGCAGCTGCAAATTTATTGGTATCAAAAATATAAAGTTGGTAGAGATAGAGCAAAAGATACTGGCTGAGCAATGCCAGTATATAGGGAGGGCATATCTCAAAATGGTGCTCTGATGAGGCTATAAATTATGTCAGAATGGCTCAAGAATTTATAGCAACTCTTAAGTTCAGCAGAATTCTCACGGTGCATTCTTTTTTATTACAAATGAATATTTGAAAAGCGGAATATAATTACAAATATCTAAAGGGCGAACAACAGTTTCTAAATGAACTGAAGAAGAGCTTTTGACAGGGTTTCCCCATTTGTCAATTTCATTAAATTCTTTGTGCTCGATTTGAGTTTTAGAAGTGAGTGCCTTGTTTATTCGAAAGACAAGTGAAGCAAAACAATGCAGTAAATAGATTCATCAGATACATTTTTTTTGGTAAAGAGCTTTTTAAAACTTAACTTTCTATAAATATAACTATATCGGTTTCAACAATTTTAATTTTTAAAAAGTTTTAAAAAATTACTCCCTTTGATTAAACATCTGTTAATCATCTAATTCTAACAAATATATACAAAAGAATTACGAAATATATGCGGTCTAGACAAAGTTAATCAACTTTGTAGATCAAATAAAAAAGTTCCCTTTTATTATATAATGTATTATATGTTTATAATAATCACCGATAGGTCTTTGCGAGTAATGATAGTTTCTTCTTTAGCTAAATTTAAAATTGTATATAAAACCTGCTTATCCCTGGAAAAATTAATTTATTAATTCTGAAATATTTCATTTCAAATAAATTTGCTTTCTAATAAATTGCAATGTTTTTGAAATCTTCCGTAATTCATAATACAAAGCCAAATTTGTTAGTGAGTAAAGCTACAGTGAGGTTTTTACAGACAAAATGATGTATTTTTTAATTTTGTATTTGTATGATTTATTTTGCAGATTAATTTAGCAGGGAGTTCACTTTTCTATAAGAACAAAAAAACCCACGTAGTCACATGAACATGTAGCATTATCAATCGCACAAAAACAGAGCATAAAATAATAGCAAATGCATTAAATGATAGCTCCAKCAATAATCGTGTGAGTTCAACACAATAAATAAAAAGGTTTATTCTGCAAGCATTCATATCTAAAATACAAAATCCGTGTAAATTCCAGGATTTTTTTTTAACTCTCATTAAATTAAAAGTTTGCCAATTCGTAAAACCATGTAATTCGTGAAAAAATGATAATCGTTTGACATTGCGAATTAAAGGGATTCCATTAAGTATATGAAATAATTAAATAAATAAATGAATATTAAAGCATGAATATCATGTCGAACTGCTGTTACAATTAATCTAGTTTATAGCCGCATACATGTAGAGATATAATCGTGTATGTACAGATAGATTCACAAGAACGAACATGACGCTTTGAGTTTCTATTACTAATGAGTTTAACACATAGCAGTTATATGTCACTTATCAAGCAGTCAATCAATCAGGTCAAGAGTTCATTTTGTATATCAGTCTAGCAACAACAAACTTCAGGTATTCAACAGTTGCAGCTGCTCAAGGTGMAAATATTTATTAAAGTCATAGCTCAACTWGAAATGAATTTGAATTTCATATTTAATCAAACCTAATGGGTTGCTAAGYATTACTTTAATTATATATCTGCCATGGCCGGCCCTAAATACCTCATAATATCATAACTGATGTCATCCTGTGCAGAGTTCAATTATGTAATACGAAATGTGGCTGGAACATTAAATATTAATTAATATGCCGGATTAGCTTACCGTCTTCCTTGGATAGCGACTGCTTCTGGGGCGTCTTCTCGTCCGCACGGACAGCCACATTGCGGTGCAAGGACTCGACGTTCTGCTGCCGTGGAATCACCTTGACACGCTTGTGCTTTGCCGTGGGCGGCACGTCCGCCTCCTGTGGTGCGGCGCGATCGGCGACATCCTCTAAATCATTGCGATTGCCACCGAAAGCATTGAGGGCCGCATTCACCTCCTCCTCGGAAATGGGCCCGTTCTTCAGAGCCAGAGCAACGGGATCTCCGGCCCCGCCGCCTGCATTGAGGCCATTGTTGCCGCTGGCGCCGAAGCCGCTGCTCTCCTGCAGGGTCGCCCGCCGACGCGTATCGTCCGTGTAGATGAGGAATGCGATGCAGAACCAAATGGCCAGCATCAGTGCTACCAGCTTAACAATTGTTGTGGAACGACGTCGCCAAATGAATGCCATGATGAAAGTTATTGGYGGAAGCTCCTATCTCTCTCTCTGTATATRTAGGCTGCAATGGCAATTGTGTGGCTGCAATTCGTGCGCCAGTTGTTGTTAATGGGCTGTGGAAGCTGTGGAGTGGTCACAGTTGAAGGGCGACTGTCGCACGCGGCGTATGCGTAACATTAATCAATGCCCGGATATGTGGCACCAAAAACCAATTCCAGCTGATTTGCTGCACAATTTTTGGGCTAGCTGATATGTTCCAGTTGTTTATCCACTGCAGTTGTCGTTGCAGTTATTKKTATTGTTGTTGTTGTTGCCTTCGCCTCACGTCTGCTGCCGGACACGAATTTCAATTTGTTGCCATTCCACTTGAAATGCCTTTGCTA